CCGGGAGTGGCCACTGCACTCCAGTCTAGGCGACAGAGTGAGACTCCAACTCAAAACAAACAAACAACAAAACAAAAAAAAACAAATGTTCATTATGCAGGTACCCTTGTTGATGAGGTATGCCCCTCCCTCCCCTGGCAGTTCTTTTTTATTTTTTGAATCGGTGTCTCACTCTGTTGCCCATGCTAGAGTGCAGTGGCATGGTCACAGCTCACCGCAGCCTCAACCTCCTGGGCTCAGGCAATCCTTTCACCTCAGCCTCCCAAGTAGCTAGGACTCAGGTACATGCCACCACACCCTGCTAATTTATTTTATTTTTTTTGTAGTAGATGAGTTCTTACTATGTCGCCCAGGCTGGCCTTGAACTCTTGGTTTCAAGCAGTTCTCCCGCCTCAGCCTCCCAAAGTGCTGGGATTATAGACATCTGCCACAGCCAGCGCCCAGCCTCTGTGACATGCTAATTACCAATTTATGGCCAAAGTGTGGCCCCTGGGCCAGCAGCATCAGCGTCACCCAGGGAAATGCAAACTCTCAGGCCCCTCCCCAATCTCCTGGATCAGAGTGAGGGGGAAGCTGATGGCCTCTCAGTGTGAGATCCTCTGCACTGAGGCGTCAGAGCCCTTAGCTTATCACTTCCACTTCCCATTTACTGAGAACCAGCCAGGAGCGTCACCCGTGCTCTGTAGGCGCTGCGAAGGAGACGACAAGCTTCCAGCCCTTGAGGAAATTATCAAACTCTGGCCTCTGTTTGCTCATCCAAGACATGGAGAAGACATCCAAGACGCTCCTGAGTGGTTGTGAAGATTAAATGAGCAGTGATGTTTAAAGTGTCCAAACAGGTGCCTACAAGTTCAGTCGAGGTTTTCCTATGACAGTGTGGTCACTGACTTGAAGGAGCCAGAAGGGAGAGACAGAAAGTGCACCCGTGTGACCCACTACCCAGGAAGACAACCCAGGGGGCCTCAAGGGATGGACCACTTCCGGCAGGAGAGTTCATGGAGGAGGGAGCCTTGGAGAAAGGGAGGCTTCAGACAGGAGCTGAGGGCAGAGAGGCCTGAACAAAGGTATGGAGAAGAGCCATGCAGGGCAGGCTGGGAAACTGGAAATGAGGCCTCGAGTCTAGAATGATTCTCTGTAGATGACAGGGAGCTGGGGCCATGATATAATGAGCAACTCGGCCAGTAGCCCAGAAGTCACACAGGGGCAGGGAAAGACCTGGGGTTGTCGCAGTAAGTGAAGGAAGAGCTCACCAGGTGTGCCAGCCCCCTGCAGGAGGAGGCGGGCAGGAGTCCCGGCCACACTGACCTTGGGGATTCCTGGGCCCTCCCCTGCCCAGCCCAGAAAGACCACCCCCCTCTCACTGTGGTCCCCCAGCTAAACTGGCCAAGACAGTCCAGCTCAGACTCCCACCTGGCAGGCCAATTTTAGGAACTGAGAGAAACAAGGAGATACTGGTAAGGCCAGTTGTTACCAAGGAGATTGGACCCCCACGGGCAAAAACCACAAAACATCAGTCGCAGCGGGTGACTGGAGAGCTTTGTGGGACCCCCCCAAACTCAACTCAAGGTGACCCGGGGTGACTTCAGAGGTGCGGCTGGTGCACAGCGGTCTGGACAGAGGGGCAGGGCAGCCCAGAGAACCAGCCTCCTTATCAGATGGGGACACAGGTGATCCCTGGAGAGGGGAGTAGGGCGAGACAGGAAAGATGCCCAGGTCTCACCAAGGACTGGAGAAGCATCCCTCAAGACCGCTAGTGCTCTCCTCTGACACTGGCCCCCAAGTGCACAGAGAGGAGGAGGCATTTCTCTTGAGCTGCTTTCTCTCTGGTTGGTTCTGTTGGCACCACACGGAGGGAAAAGCATGCATTTCTGGCCTCCAGGCAACAGACGGTCAGTAACTTGGGACTTTGGCAGCCAGCCGGCTGCCCAGTAACCTGCTGTGTCTCTCTTTAGTCTTCAGTTCCCTCTCCCACCCCCTTCAGCAGAAGTGAGAACATAATTTTTTTTTTTAAATAGAAATGAGAGCCGGACTCGGTGGCTCAGCCTGTAATCCCGCGCCTTTGGGAGGCTGAGGTGAGTGGATTGCCTGAGCCCGCGGGTTCGAGACCTGCCTGGGCAATTTGGCGAGACCTCGTCTCTACAATAAATCAAAAAATTAGCCGAGCGTGGTAGCGCACGCCCGTAGTTCCAGCGACTTGGAAGGCTGAGGCGGAAGGATCACTGGAGCTCAGCAGGTCGAGGCTGCGGTGGCCGGGAACTCCAGTCTGGGCAACAGAGTGAGACTCCACTCAAAAAAAAAAGAAAAAAAAAAATAGAAATGAAGTCTCGCTCTGTTGCCCAGGCTGGTCTTGAACTCCTGGGCTCAAGCAATCCTCCTAAGGCGGCCTCCCAAAGTGCTGGGATTATAGACATGAGCCACCATGCCCTGCTGAGAACAGACGTTTTGGAAGGGAAACCTAGAGAAAATGTTTTTGCTCCCTAAGTAAGAGAGAGTAAAAGCAGAGAGGTAGGGCCGTGCAGGGTGCAGGCTCTGCCCCCGGGACCGTGGGTAACAAGTGACAGAAGCTGACAGAAACCAGCTGGAGAGAAAGGGGACCACTGCAGAGCAGTCTCCAGGGACCTTCATTGTCCTTCCGGCTACTGCCTGGCCAGCAGGGCCACTCCTCAGACTACCTTCCCAATGTATCCAGACCTCACAGGTCTCTGCAGGTCCCCGTGAGAATGGCCGAGGGGGGACCTTGGAAGCAGGGCTGTCACTGGCCTTTCTTGGTCAGGCAGCCATTCCCCAAGTAATCCCCTATGCCCAGGAGCAGGGAGCGTGGTTGACCAGCTGGGCTCCATAGGAAGCCAGTCACCCCCATTAAAGGCATACGGGGCTGCGATCGGTGGCTGATCCCAGCACTTTGGGAGGCCGAGGCAAGTGGATTGCCTGAGCCCATGGGTTCGAGACCAGCCCGGGCAACTTGGCGAGACCTCGTCTGTACAGTAAATCAAAACTTAGCCGGTCATGGTGGCATGCTCCCATAGTTCCGGCTACTTGGAAGGCTGAGGCAGGAGGATCGCCGGACCCCAGCAAGTCGACACTGGGATGGCCATGAGTGTGCCACTGTACTCCAGCCTGGGTTACGGAGTGAGACTCCAGCTCAAAATAAATAAGTAAATAAAGGCAGACAGTTAGCTGGCAGTGAAGGATGTCATCCCTGAAGAAGGCAGCCAAAATAAGCATTTCCTGCACAAAGGAACCTGGCCAGAAAGGAACAGGCTAGGCCAGGCACAGTTGCTCACTCCTGTAATACCAACACTTTGGGAAGCCAAAGTGGGAGGATCGCTTGAGCCCAGGAGTTTGAGGCCAGCCTGGGCAACATGGTGAGACCTCGTCTCTACAATAAATTTAAAAAGTAGCCAGGCATGGTGGTGCCCACCTGTAGTCCCAGCTACTTGGAAGGCTGAGGCAGGAGGATCGCCTAAGCCCAAGAGGTCAAGGCTGCGGTAGCCATGATTGTACCATTGCACTCCAGCCTGAGTGACAGAATGAGACCCCAACTCAAAAAAAAAAAAGAAGAAAGAAAAGGGACAGGCTGATCCAGCAGTGCCAGGCCTGGGCTTAGGTGAGGAGCCGGGCTGCCAGGTAGCGGCCTGCTGCGGGGTTGCCAGGATCCTGGTCCTCACCTCCCTTGCGCCCTCAGCACTATGCCAGGGCTGCCCTGAGCCCGGCCCTGGGCTGACCGAGGGGTCTGGGAGGCTCTGCTCCTCTCCCCCTTCCCTCCAGGTCCTGTTGGCTCTGCTGAAGGCTGCAGACGAGGCCATCGCATGAGGCCATCCCACCATCTGTGATGGGGTTGGTCTCCTTTTGGCCTAGGTCACCCAAGGTCCAGGTCCCTGGAGAAATGACCATCCATATGATCTCTTACTACCCTCAGTGGGGCATGAGGGAGGGCCCCGCCTCTCTGAGCTCCTGAAGGATGGTGATTGGGCACACCGAATCACACACCTGGGGTGACCAGGGGGCTTGTCCAAGCCTGAGGATTCTGGAGCTGGGCTTAGCATTGACCACCCAGCAGGTGCCCAATTAGTGGTCAGCTATGGACCAACTTGAGATGGGCAGGAATTGCCTCTGCTCGCTGCTTGTTTAAAAAAAAAAATTTTAAGAGACCGGTTCTCATACTTCACTCCGGTTGGAGGGCAGCAGTGCGATCATAGCTCACTGCAGCCTCAAACACCTGGGCTCAAGCAATCCTCCCACCTCAGCCTCCAGAGTAGTTAGGACTAGAGTAGCGCACGGCCCACCATGTGCCCAGCTAATTTCCTTTTTTTTTTTTGGAGACGAGTTCTCATTGCCCAGGCTGCTCTTGAACTCCTGACCTCAAGCGATCCTCCCCACCTCAGCCTCCCAAGCACTGGGATTACAGGTGTGAGTCCCCACACCTGGCCTCTTCCCTGCTTCTCTAGCAGAGCTCCAGCCTACTGATTCTCCCTGGTGGCTTCGTCAGGAGCCTCTGATTACATGAGGCCAACCCAGATAATCCAGGACAATCCCCCCATCTCAAAATCAGCAGATTCGCATCCTTAGTGCCCTATGACATAACATGCTCGCAGAGTCCAGGGGTTAGGGCACGGGCAGCTTCCACCCTCCCCTTGAGCCCAGGGCCTACAGCTCAGCTACAACAGTGATTAAGCCCTGGCCCGGCTCCAAGGCCCAGCCTCCTTCCACTTCTCTGGGGACTGTGGGGGGAGTTTGCTCTTCGGGGACTGCGGGTCTGTCTGGGCCCAGCCCTGGCAGCTGAGGCCCTGGGGTGCTGTGGCCTCCAGATTATCTCCTTGCTGCAGGCACCCACCCCAGGAGTATCCTGGGGGCCCCAGGGTGGAGGAGGCCCCGGCCTAAGAGGCTCTCAGGAGCCCGAGCAGAGGCCTAACACACTCAGACATGAGGCTTCTTCAGCTACTCTGTTTGGCTGTGCTGGGTGAGCTGCTGGGCACAGCGCAGGAGGGGCTGCTGCCAGGGCCTTCTGGTGGTGGTGGGGGCTTGGGGCGAGGATGCTGGGGAGCCCTGGAGAGAGGAAGCCTGGAGGCCCAGCACCTCTGTAAGCACAGGAGAGAGAGGGAAGGATTTGGGCTTGAGTCTCAGCCCCTGACGTGAGGCAGAGGTGTCGTTATTGCTTCTCATTCTGGCCCAGGACTTCCCCTCATCGGCAAAATGGATTCACGAGCCTGGGCATGGTGGCTCACATCTGTAAACCCAACATTTAGAGAGGCTTAGGCGAGAGGATTGCTTGAGCCCAGGAATTCAAGACCAGCCTGGGCAACATAGCGAGGTCCCGTCTCTACAAAAATTAAAGAAAAAAAAAGGCCAGACATGGTGGCCCAAGCCTGTAGTTGGGAGGCTGAGGCGGGAGGATTGCCTGAGCCCAGGAGGTTTGAGGCTGCAGTGAACTGTGATCGTGCCACTGCAGTCCAGCCTGGGTGACAGAGTGAGACCCCGATTCAAAAAAAAATGGACTAATGATACAAAATGTGGGGCATACAAGAGCTTTTGTGAGTAATGATGCTGGTTGAGCCCTGGGGCCTCCCTACCAGTGATCAGCCTGCTTCTCCCTCCGGCTTCAGCGGGAGGGTCTCTCCTTACTGTCCTCACCTCTCTTACAGCCGCCAGCAGCTTCTCCGGGAAGCAGGAGGGAGGTGAGTCGCTCAGCATGCTGGAGGGAAAAGTGCCCCCAGTTGGGAACCCTGGCATTGGAACCCCCACCCATGGAGGGTGCCCTGGCTGGGAGGAGGTTGCTGGTGGGGAAGGGATGTGTGCTGAGGGACAGCTGGACAGTTCTGGAAGCCGGCCTCACCCCTGCAGGGCCCCGGGGTGGGGATGGAGAGGAGGGGGCTGAGCAGGCCGGCATGGGACCTCCAGGAGGGACATGGGCAGGGAAGGTGCTCGGCTTCCAGCTGGGCTGTTTAGAGGGCGGTGTCCTCTGGGCAGTGATGTCCCAATCACTCCACCCGAAGTTCTCCATCTGGGGCAGAAGCCCCTCTGGGAGACCCAGAGCTCTGCAGGGTGGTTGTGGCCCCAGAAAGGGCGGGGGATTCTGGTGGGGCACCTTGGCCCGGGAGGTCCGGGGTCCTCAGGTGAGGAGAAGGTGGTGAAAAAATGGGAAATCAAGGCTCCCCTAGGGGCCTGGCTTGCAGAAGCTGCCTTACCCTTGGAGGCAGCCAGAAAGCATCCAGGTCTCACCCTCTGAGGGCCCAGAGCCTTATGGGTCCAGGGAGGAGGGAAAGCTGGGGAAGGTTCCACCAGCCCCTGGCCCGCCTCCTCCCGGCCTCTGCCCGATGGTCCATCCTTCCGACTCTTTTCTGCCTATCCCTACCCCACCCCACCCCACGCCCATCTCTAGCTCTCGTGTCTGTTCAGGCGGAGGTGGCCAGTCACCTCCCCGTCTTGTTCCAGCCAGCCCCCTACCCCATGTCGCCGGGTTGCCAGGTCATAGAGCAGGGCATTCCCCCTCGATTCTGCTTAAAGGCGGGTACCGGGTAGGGGTGACGTGGGTCTCACTTGACTGAGGCACAAGTTGAACTATCATTTCCTCATTTGCTTTGAAAATCCACACATCACTGGTATTGCTGCTAAAAAGAGCAAGCAGCCGGGTCTCAGGGGCGTACCTGTGCAGGAGCCGTCCCGCCTCGGCTCTCAGCTGGCTCCCGACCTCTGCTCAGATTTGCCAACCATGTCCTGCTAACCAAACTCCTAAGAGACTGACTGATAGCATCATTCATTTATCCAACTTGAGCACCTGTTTGGTCACCGTTTCAGCCCCTAAGGAATAGGCAAGGCATGAAACGAACCCTCATGTATCTTATGTTCTAGGAGGGCTGAGAGGACAGATGATAAAAATGGGCACATTCAGCCTGGCTTGGTGGCTCAGCCTATCATCCCGCTCCTTGGGAGGCTGAGGTGAGTGGATTGCCTGAGCCCACAGGTTCGAGTCCCGGCTGGGCAACTTGGCGAGACCTCATCTCTACAATAAATCAAAAATTAGCTGGGCATGGTAGCGCGTGCCTGTAGTTCCAGCTACTTGGAAAGCTGAGGCGAAAGGATCACCGGAGCCCAGCAAGTCGAGGTTGCGGTGGCCAGGAGCATGCCACTGCATTCCAGCCTGGGCGACACAGTGAGACTCTAACTCAAAAAAAACAAAGCAAAAGCCCACACAAGTCTTATTAGAATAAAAAGTGAATGCCCCACTGCTTAGTGAACTTTTAAAATGGTTCCTATGCAAATCAAGCTTCTATTAATGGCCACTGAAATGGAAATGAAAGGAGCAGTTTTTTCCTTTCATTTTTATAAAGTCAAGATAATTGGGTGGCGGGGGTAGGAGGGTGGAGGGAACTAAAAAAAGACAATTTTCCATCACGAATGGAGCAGAAGGAGGGCAGTCACCCTTCAGCCCTGGATTCCCACGGTGAGGCAGGGATCTGAACCATCTTTGGACCATGAGGAGGAGGCCTCTTGGCCCTGAGGTGACATCACAATGATAAAATTCCTGGAAGAAGTCCGCAGAACGGTGCCCCAGAGAGCAACCTCACCTCTGGATAGAGCTTGACTTTCTTCAAAGGTTTTTGCATGAAAGACTGTTGGGAAAAAAATATGTATCCTTCCCCCACAGAAATGGGGTTTCTCATGGAGTTTTGAAAGAGGCACAGATGAGAACATATTTGTTGGTGTCTGTACAGCCATTGGCAGGGAAAGAAATCCTGATTCTAGAAGGCTGCTACTAGTGGTCTAGACCAGAGTTCTCAACTGCAGCACAGTTGACATTTGGGGCATGCTCCTTCTCTGTTGCAGGGGGCTGTCCCGGGCATTGCAGGATATTAAGCAACAGCCCTGGCCTCTACCCCTCATTCTTGACAACCACAAATGTCTCCAGATACAAAGTTCCCCTGGAGGTAAAATCACCCTTAATTGAGAACTACTGGTCTAGAAAGAAATGTGCTTCGTGGTCACACATTCTAGTTTGTTCCAATTCCCTGCTCAACGAACAGTTTTCTGATTGCCGTGTGGTTTCCAAGGCAGATGTGACCAGCAGAGCAAGGATGATTTATGAAGTTCTTTGCTATTTAGATTTTACTTTTTGTTACAAGCAATGGGCTCACTTTGCAATACACTAGAAGCCAATATTACAGCCCTGGTTTTGGAGAAAAGAAAGGGTTTTATTGCGAGTGGACTGGCAAGAAAACAGGAAGCAACACTCAAGTCTGTCTCCCTGATCTGGGGGGGGGGGGGGGGGGGGGGG